AGACACATCTTTCTAGGATAAATGTCTCAAACTGCTTCATTTCTTTCTTCATTTCCGTATTTCCTCCATTCAAGTCAGCCTCATCCATGAGAAAGTTTTCCAACAACCTGTTACTTGATGGATTTAACAACCACTGATGATGGCTGTTTTGCTCTACTGTCTCATCAGGAATTTTATAATGCTCATTTTCTAAATCTTCATTCCTTTTGCATTTATTAGCTGTGATTTCTCCATGATTACTGACTTTCTCTCATCAGCTATTTGATTATCTTAAAATATAATTTGTGCTACAAAGGCATGATCAAAGTGGCTTTTTTTTTTTTTAACAGTAATAAGGGGGTATCCTAACAATCTGTGAAGGTGACCCACTACACTTTGAGGAGCTTTCTTGTTTGGTGTATCATTCTGGAATCCAGAATCTTCAAGTACTCCCCTCTTTTTGTATACTCAAGATCTTGGTTCCTACAACATACCGTAACAGTTTCAAGTAACAATATAAATATTTCCCACTACAACTGTACAGTCAAAAGATTGTCTTTTAAAGTCACTTAAGTAATCATCTTCTCTGTATGAGAAGTTAACACCTACCTGATGCATATAGCTGGTTTCTCTCAATCTGTTTTCAATTTTTAGTGAATGCTTTTTTTATTTGGATTTTTATTGTGGTAAAAGACAAGTAACACTAAACTTACTATCTTAACCTGTTTAAGTGTTCAGAAGTGTTAAGTATATTCACACTGGTATACAACAGATCTTCAGAACGTTTTCATCTTGTAATACTGACACCCATAACGATTAAACACTAATTCCTCCTCCCAACTAGGTAACCACAGTAGAGAGCCAGAGTTGCCCACCCCCTCTAGGGGAATCAGCAGCAAGCCTGCTGTGAACTTTGGGTGAACTCCAGAGAATTGAAACTGTAATAGGAGGATGTGCATGTCTCAGAGTACAACAGAGACAGGCCTAGAGAGATAACCAGCTTTCACTGACCTTGCTGCAAGATAGTTGTTACCTGAAGTATGAGAATAACCACCACAGGCTGTTCTAAGTAACTGTACCCTCCCTCTGCTATGTGCTTTGTAAATATATAAAATAAAGTACCCTGAGACAGATTGGGGCCGGAGAGACTGACATCCTCACTCTCCTGGACCACCTGGCCCTGCTTTCTCTATGTTTCTGTTTGTGTCTTTTTTTATCCCCCATCATTCCCTCTTAGGTCTTTGAACCCTTGTGTAGCATGGGATGCAGCTTGCACCAGAAACCACCTTTCCACTTTCTGCTTCTATGATTTCTGACTACTCTAAATACTGTATGAATGGAATAATATGATATTCATCCTTTTGTGACTAGCTTATTTAGTTTAGCATAATATCCTTCAGGTTCATCCATGTTGTGGCATATGACAGGATTTTCTTTTTTAAAGGCTAAATAATATTCCAAGCATACGTTTACTACGTTTTCTTTATCCACTTGTGCAGATGGATATTTGGGTTGCTTCCACCTCTTGGCTATTTGGAACACTACCACAGCGAACATGAATGTGCAAATATTTCTTCGAGATCCTAATTTGAATTCTTTGGAGTATTTCTCTTTTTAAATTAGGTAAAATACTTACATGGTCCTAAAGTCAAAATAAGGAACATTAAGAGACATCAACCATCTAGTCCCATCCCTAGATACCTTTATCCAATGGGAATCACTTTATCCAATGGCAATCACTTTCACTTGTTTATCCTTTCATCGTTTCTTTTGGAAATATAAGCTCATTCATATACACTAACACGCCGACACACACTCTTCCTCTACATCTGACAAACATAAAAGGGAGTATCTCTACACTGTCCTGCATGTTGGCTTTTATCACTTAAAATGTCCTAGACATGCCCCTCCTAGGGTGGAAACCTTCCTCATTTCTTCTTATAGCTAGGTAGTACGTCGCTCTATTAATGGACCATATTATTCACTCAGTCCCCTATGATAATTACTTGGGTTGTTTCTTGTGGCTTCCTGCTACAAATAGTGCTGCACTAAATGCCCTTGTGCACATGCTCTATCTTGATTTTGCTCATTATCTTTGGGATACATTCCCAGATATGAGGTGCTTAGTTGGAGAAAGAAAATGCAGAGGCAGTTTTGCTAAATCCTGACAAACACCCTTCCCATTGGGTTAGTACCATGCTGCATTCTAACCACTAGGGTAGAAGAGGGCTGGTTTTGCTTGCTGCACCATCAGAATAGCTATGCTGTTTAGCTTTTGCATTTCTTCCAGTCTGTACATGGGACATGGTATCTTGGTGCAGTTTAAAAATTTGTTTCTCTTACTGTGAATGAGGTTAACATCTTTTCATATGTTAAGAGCAGTAAATTTCTCTTTCCTCTAAACTGTTAATAGCCTTTTCCCATTTTTCTATTGGAACATAGAAAAATGTTCCAATTTTTCTTTTTTTATCTTTTTTCTCTTAATTTGTGTGTGTGTATACGTGTGTGTGTGTGTACATGTGTGTATGTGTGTATATACATGCAGATATGTCTACAGTGAATTTAGCCCTCTGTGACATGTTTTGCTTATTGTGTTACTGGTTGTTGTTTTGCCATACAAGTTCTTCTTTTTTCTAAAATATAGTCAAGCATATCAATTTTCCTTGATCTCTGCTGAATTCTGAGTCATGGCTAGGAAACTTATCCCCTTCCCAGGTTAATAGAAATTAATTCATGTTTTTGTCCTCAGTTACATTTTAAGCAGTGAATTTCTTTCAATTTAATCAACCAATACTGCCGAAATTCTCCATCCACAGAGAACAATAGGTTTTCAGGACTCTGAATACCAACATTCTACAACAGAACTTTATATTTTCCAGGAAAAAAACCTCCCTTCTCTACTCCCTGGAAACTCCATCTCTTGTAGGACACACACCTGCCATATCATTCAGCAGTTTTAGTCACTTTGGACACAGTTACTGTTTTATTTCACTTGGTTTAACACGCAGGTCACTTCCTAGGTTATTCTGTTCCACCTTATCCCATTCCCTGACACAGAGAAGTCAAATCACACATACTCTGAGCATCCTCACCATGCTGAAAGCCATCTGTTACCCACTGTGCTGAAAATCAATTTGACCCATGAACTGTGCCCCAGGGACAGTGTGTAATAGCAAGAAGATAGAGCTTCAGGAACAATAACGCTTATGAAGCATACAACACATTCTCACAAATCTGAGCTTACAAGAACACTTAAGCATGAGTTGATTTTTAACATCACTCTCCATTCTTAATTCTCCCTTCTCATGCCTAATAGCCAAAGATTAGTCCAATGCTGAGACATTTAGTGAGCGTGACACAGGGGTCACCTTCAAGTAGCTGCATACAATGGGGAGGGGCAACCACATGAAGTGAAGGTTAGGAAGGGGTGTTTTGGATCTTGGTTCAACAAAGCAAACAGAGTCATCTCAGAAGTTAAAAGTGGAAACCTCTGGTTGAAAATTATTGTGGTAATTTTAGAAAATAGGAATTCTCTCATCATCCAAATTAACTCTCTCATATGGCCTTTCACTTCTGGAATAGAACTTCACCTCATCATTAAGGCCTATTGACTTATAAAATAAATTCATTTTTGTCACAAACACTATCAAATGTGGTATTTGGGTTCACAGTCCTTAGCTAATTAGAAATGAGGCTAGTATCAGGTAAACAGGCAGCAGCAGGAAGAAATGGTAAAAGTGTGAAAATAACACTATAGAAACAGAAAAAGAGCCCAGCATCTGTGGCGAGTTAATTTATCATCATTCAGTGTGTTATTTTTACTATATTGGCTCATGAAATGATCATTGCCTACTGCAAACAGTGACACCAAGTCAGCAAGAGAAAGTAAAATTTCATTCTGGGCCCAGGTTTTAAGAAGTCAGTAAAATACAAAACTGAGTTTAAAACAGTTCCAGTTTCAAAAAGCTAACTTTTTTAAAAAAAGTTTGATGCTTAAATAATTAAGGTTTAACTATGTGGAAAATAGATCTCCATGGAAGACTCAGCCATTCACTAGGGACACAGTGTACCCTCAACAGCATCTATGTGGCATAAAATGTGTTTAGTGCTCGACAATTGAAAGTCATTGCAAAGTCCTTTCCCAAATAGTTTCTAATGATACTCTGTGTATTGAACATTTTTCTCCAGAACATTTCCAAGGCTTTTCAAAAAACGTTCATGTGGCCTTTTGGTTTCAACTAAAAAAACAAAAACAAAAAAAACAAATTCAGTAATTCCCAAGGAAAAGGTTCAACAGCGCGCACGTGTGCGCGCGCACACACACACACACACTCTTCTACAGCTAACAGTCCTGAGAATCATAACCCAAAATAGATGGCGGCTAGTTCATTTTCCCATCTATCTTTGGTGGCATTCTGGAAAGCATGCATGAAATATGAATACTCACGGAACATGGTATAAAACTGCTGAGGGTTTAGATTCCATTTTCCCCAGGGGGTCTTGTGGCCTTTGGACTGGGCATAATTTGCGTGATTAAATTCGGGTTCAGTACCAAATGAATCGAGGACTCGGAGCATGCACCTGAAAGAAAAAAAAGCAAAGTGTGTAACACTACATACTTGCCCCCCAAGTTGAAAGGTAAAAGCTCTAACGGTTCCTTCAGGACTACTAAAAATAGACAAATACTTTTAAATAGAAGCAGCACCAGACAAGAATTGAGATGTTTTAGAATAGCTTGTGTACCAAACATCTACATGTGTGACTTTAGAGACTGAGCCATCACACAGCAGATATGATTTGCTTCACCATTAGGTAACTAATTATAGAGGATCACTCAACTACCAGCAAAACAAAAAGTTCTATGACAACTTGAACTGGGGCGCCAGGTTCACTGCTGTACCCACAGCATCTGGCCAGAGCTGAGCACACAGTAAGTATCTAATCAACAGATGCTGAAAAAACAAAGAACTACCATCTATAGAGGTCTTATTCTGCTTAAAGTATATGATGTGTTATCTCTAGGAGCAATCATTCAACGTTTTCATCAATTAGAGTATTTGACTTTACATTAAGCTTACAATCTCATTTAGTAGGCAATGGTATTTTTAATTTATTTGATAATAATAGAACTTTATTTGCTTTCTCCTAGAGCTTGAAGAAATACAAGTGAAGATGTTTTGTTTGCTATTCCACCAAAGCCATAAAACAGGGCCAAATCGGGTCTACCACTTATTTTTGTATGGTCTGTGAGCTTAGAATGAGCTTTACATTCTTAAATGGCTTTTAAAGAATCTTTTGTGACATGTAAAAATTAGATGAAATTCTGATTTCCATGTTCAAAAATAAGAATTTTATTTGAATGTGGCCACACTCTGTTGTTTACCTACTGTCCATGGCTGCTTTCATCCTGTAACAGCAGAGCTGAGTAGCTGCAGCGACTGCATACAGGACCTATGAAGCTTAAAATATTTAGTAGCTGGCTCTTTTCAGAAAAAGTTTTCTGACCACTGCTCTGGAGTGCACAAAGAACAACCAATTGGAAGAAAGGAATCAATCCCAAAACAAAATTTATTGATTTTGGTAACATTTCATCACTGACTTTCGAAATACTTGATGTAAATTAAATATTTTTGTGGATGGCCAATAAAAGCAGCTCTCTTTCTCTGTTACGTATCAATAATACTTCTGAATAACTTTTAGAAGACTAAGAAGCATAAAAGTAGACTGGGCCGGGCGCGGTGGCTCACGCCTATAATCCTAGCACTTTGGGAGGCCGAGGTGGGTGGGTCACGAGGTCAAGAGATCGAGACCATCCTGGTCAACATGGTGAAACCTCGTCTCTACTAAAATACAAAAATTAGCTGGGCATGATGGTGCGTGCCTGTAGTCCCAGCTACTCGGGAGGCTGAGGCAGCAGAATTGCTTGAACCCAGGAGGCGGAGGTTGCGGTAAGCCGAGATCGTGCCATTGCACTCCAGTCTGGGCAACAACAGCGAAACTCTGTCTCAAAAAAAAAAAAAAAGTAAAGACTGAAACCCACATTTTAGAATCAGATGATGGCACTGACTTTTGAAAATCTGGCTCAGTTTTTATCTACTTTCAGAAAGGCATTCTTTCAACTTTTATTTTCACTTCGATGTATGATTCAGGGGAAAAAAATCCAAACATGAGATTGAATTTTTCTAGTAAGTATATTCACACATTGTCATTTCTGTGTGCTAGTTTTCGCATTAGAGATCACTACCATTTGTTAAGACACAGAAGAGAAGAAAAGGAAGGCAGGCAGGCCACACAAGTCAAATACAAGCTGACCAGAGGAGGAATTTCCCTGTCTGGGATTCTTGTGTGGCTCTCACAGAATATGCTCTCATCACAGCAGCAGTTTTCACAATACCACCAAAGATATGTCATTGGCCTCGTGGCCAATAGGTGGGCAGAAACAAAGCCCACAGTCCTGAAAAAAGAAAGCTAGGGACCCAAGGAACTGATCAGTGTTTGTTTTCTTTGCTCTTTGTGTAGCTCAGAGCATCCCTTTCTTCTTAAAAAAAATACCCATTTCTTATATTTTTCTGTTTTAAAAAAATATGCATAAGGAACTGCAGCTCTGCAGATCACTGTAAAAAAAAAAAAAGGGAGGACAGGACCCATGCTCATTTGTGGGGCTGTGCAACGCTCCACTCCCACCAGAGAATCAGAGCTGGGAATTGCCAGCACCACTTTGTGAGTCAAAGATCACAGCTCTCTGTGCAGGTCCGACAGGGAGAAACGGGTCACTTGGGTCATAAGGAGCCTTGGCTTGAAGGCTCAACTTCTTCCACTTATTTGCAATTGACTCCAATAGTCTACAGCTGTCCTTGGTATCTGGTGGATTGGTTCCAGGACCCCTGTGGACACTGAAATCCAAGGATACTCAAAGTCCCTTATATATAGTGGTAAAATACTTTCATATGACCTATGCACATCCTGTCATATTTGAATCATCTCTAGATTACAAATATAATACCTAATATCATATTTGTATTTTTATTATTGTATTATTTTTATTTTTTTCTTCAGATATTTTTGGTCTGAGATTAAATCTGTGGCTGTGGAACTCATAGATATAAAATGTTAACTATATGCTCTTCTCTAGCTTTGGCTGGTGACCATATTTTTAACTTGAAGTTTTGTTATTATTTTTGATTTGGGCAATTAAAACAAATCTTGATGAGTAAAGTTGTCTGGTAAGGGCCTAACTGCTGAAAGCCTGGGCTTTGCAGTGCCTAGATGTAAGCTATGTGGTGTTGGGCTGTTCCTGAAAGAGGAATGGAGTGATCAGATGTCTCTCTGAAATTTTTAATTTGACATCCTTTTACTTGAGGCTTTGGCTTGGGAACTGCGTATTTTCTGGCTTACCTAGGTTTCATTTATAAAGCAGAGATGGAGACTGAAGTTTGTCTACAACATGGAAGGTTTAACATTGTAGTTTTCCTTCTTCAATCACATCCTGATCTGTGTGTTTTTCAATTATTTTTATAATGTATTGCTAATATTTATGCCTTCCCTCTAATGTCTCTGTGTCTGGAGTATCACAAGCAGACTAATGACTTAAAAAGATATTTGTTTTGATGCCCAAGGCAGCTTGCCTTCCTGTTAACAGGGATCGCAGCAGCAATGCCAAATAACTCCTGGAACCTTCTCTTTGCTCTCAGCCACACTACTATGAAATGGATGCTCAGGAGTTCCTTGCCATGCCCTAATTTCTAATTTGATGTTTGACATAAAACATGGCATATCTGAAACTTACTTTCTTGTATTATGTCCTTCAACAAAGGCCTTGTAGGAAGTAAAATGGGTATGAGTTTTGCAGTACCTAGCAGAACACTGCTTGTGTGTAGGCATTTAATAAATATTTGATTGAATTTCCTAGGTCCCTATGTAAATTGCACAAAATTTACAATTATTTTTCCAACAGGCCTCAAGGCTTTGCTCCTAACTCAAAGATCAGATAACAACATTACATTTAATGGAGTATGTACCAACAACCAAGATGAACACAGAGCCCTGACAATTTCTAATTTTTAAAGGGGAAAGAAACTGGCAAGAAACTTCCAAGAGCACCTGAGTTGGCTTTTAATGGAATCTTCGCTTCATCCCACCACAAAGACTGCAAAGCTAAAGCACTAACAGACCTCCTGCCAGGTAATATCACTAACACAGATGATTTATTAAAGAAAGGCAGATTAACATTACACTCATCCATAAAACCCCCTCTGAGATGATGCCTTTTCATCCAACAAGAGTCAAATACCAATCAATGGTGACCATTTTAATAACAAAATTTTCCTTTTTTAATAGACCTAAATACTACCACTGAGAGTATTTTTCCATCCAAACAACTCTCCCTAATAGCAAGACTATGTGAGTCAAGGGAAGCCTGTACTGCGTAGATTCCTTTGCACATTTATCAGATGCCTGCCATTCACAAAATGGTAGAAAACAACAGCTCCACTTTCCTAAATATTTCAAGAAACAAGCAAAAGAAAAAAGAAAAAAACCTAATGCAAAAGGTAGAGTACAATTTTGGCCCACACCAAGTTTTTAGTTTTTAAAATACTTATGTATCATTTATTAATTATATTTATAATTTATTATATTTATTATAATATTTATTATTAAATGTATTTAAGTTTATTCACCTTTTGAAATTTATTTTTTAAAGGACACTTCTAAAGACCATATATAAAACCCAGTATGGACCGCAATAAATGGAAGATAACAAGAAAAAAGCATATAACCTTTAGGAAATATTTTAAAATTCAGAATAGATACTTTTGCCTGCTGAAGGCTCAGACTCTACAGCTACTCTCAAATCGTTAAAAAGGCATGCATTAAAAGTAGTGTTGGAGATGTAGTAGCATCAAACTATCTTTTCCCAGAAAGAATGAAAGAAAATGGAAAATTAATAAATTTAATTATATAATTCAGTCTGACTTATTGCCATGTTTGTATACCAGGTAAAAGTGTTTCAAATGCTAAATCGTGGTCCCAAACCCACACTCCGAGAAACACTGAGCTATTCTACTAAATAATAAAGACTGTACAGAGTACACGTGCAACAAAGTTATGTTAATCATGGGCTTATCTTAAAAAGTGCAAGACCCCAGCATTCAGACAGGGTATTCCCAGACTTCCCTTCCAGGAATGACAAGAATACTGATCAATTAAAGGGTAAGAAAAGTGAATCATGATCTAAAACCCATGGACCACGAGAAATAACACTGTAAATACTCTATCAAAATTGATATTTGATTAAATAGATGACACTGGCATACGCATACTGAGAGGAAGGCTAAGAATATTAGTCAAGATAGAAAAAAGGTTGAACATTTGTTTGCTATTCTTAAGAAATCAATGAAAACAATGAATAGTCATAGAAAGTACAAAGTCGCTGAGAATCTGAATTTTAATTAGGAATGAGCAACACACTCCATACAGTTGAAAATATATTATTTGATAAGCTTTTCCTACCTGCAACCATGCAACCCTTGTTAAGGAGAGGGGGGAAAATACTTAGGTCAGAATACCATGCAGCACTTACTGGTAATGAACCCAAGATGGTCCAAGAGTTTTCTTGAATTGAGCAAGTCCTACAATATCGATATAAATGAGCTCAACAATTCTGTCTCCTACAGTTGGACAGCCAGATCGGTTTCCTACAACTTTCTTCATGATTCTAGAGAAACAGCAAAAGAAAGGGGAGAAAAAAAGAGAAAAATCATTTACTTAAAAGGCACTAAACTTAGCAACTTTAATGGGCAAATGCCACCCCAAAAATCCTTATTAGAGATGATAGCATGGCCCTTTCAAATCTGCTGCCTATATAAATCATTTCCATCCACTAAGGCCAACCCAGTTCCCTGATTTTGACTCTTGCAAAAGCAAATGGTAGCATATGAACAGTCTTTGAAATCGAGGAAGATTTAGGTCTAACTCCATCACCACTATGTAGCAACTATGAGACCTTAAATAAGTTACCTAACCTCTCTCAATCTGTCTTTGCTCATCTTCCAGAAAAGAAGGACTAGATGCAAAGAACACTGAGTATCAATCTCTCAGGAGTTCTTCACAAGATTAAATGAGCTGTTGAATAGAATGTGCCTAATGCATACCAGATACTCAATAACTTATTTTTCTCCCCCAGGCCCTGTTCTTACTACTTAGCAACCTTATTAACCTTCCCCTCCCCTTTTCCTGAAAGTCGTCAATTTCTAGCCTCTACAGTATTAACTTCTTTCTACTTGTCTCGTATTGTTCCCTAACTTTTTCTCTTATGTCAAATTTTTCCTCCTAGCTTGACTGTATTACAGAACTAGCGCTATGGCTTGCAGTATTTTTTCTCACCCTTTCCCCTACCCATGCATCCATCTGAGCACAAGTGTACAAAACCACACTTTCCATCCACTCACTAATCAGTCCTGACTTTTGCTTCTTATCCCTGCCCACACCCCACAATAATCCTTCACCAAATTACAGGCATCCTGCTTCAAAGGACAAGAGTCACAAACAGGACTCCAATCTACAGCTCTGTACAACCACCACGTCAGCCACCTTCCATCCTCTTCCATTTATGAAAGAACTAGGTTCTGCACAACCAGTTTCTTCCCCAAGAGTTGGAAAACCCTTTTTGTTAAGGGCCAGACAGTGAATATATTCATCTTTGCAGGTCATAAATTCAGTCACAATTGGCTCAGCCTCCCGTTGCGGAATAAAGACAGCTAATAACAATAGGCATGGCTGTGTTCCCATGAAACTTTATTTACAAAAAAAAGAAGGCTGATTTAGCTTGCTGAGCCATAGTTTTCTGATCTCTGGCCCACCCTATGTTCAGTGTTTCCCAAACTTGTCTGTATAATGAAACTACCTGGAGGCATCACAAAATACTTATGGCTATGTCCTAGCCACAAGGGTTGTGATTTAATTAGCCTGTGGCATGGTCTGTGGAATTTAAAAAAGATTCCCCAAAGTTAAAAAATAAATACAAAGATCTCCAGGTGGTTCTTAAGTACAGATATATTTAAATACCACTGCTCTATGTTGCTTCCACAATTATCTTCTTAAATAAAACACATCTAGCCCTGACCCCATTGTGAATAAAGACTACTAGAGTTAAGTCCTCATTTAACGTCATCAATAGGTTCCTGAAAACTAGGACTTTAAACAAAACATCATATAGCAGGCCCTCCAATAAAGTCATTTCCTTCAAATCACTGGTTATAATGTTGATGAAAAAAACTGGTTTCATTTTACATAATTTAAGGTCCTAGTTTCCAAGAACCTATCAACAATGTTAGTGAGGACATATTAAAGAGATTTTCCCTTGACCATCAAATTAAATCTCATTGATAAATCCCTAACATACCTTTCCTGACTTCCCCAGGCAGTGCTTGTTCCTGGTACTGCCATAGTACTCCATTTATTTACCGACACACTCATTCATTCACGTATTTATTCCTTACTCATTCATCCCATAAATAGTTATGTGAGTACTCATCACATGCTAGGCACTATCTAGGTGCCCACTACACAGTGGTGAACAATACTCAGTTTCCTGCAATCCCAGTGCTTACATTCTAGCAACCACACACACCTCAATTAGAACTAACAGCACTGGAATTAGTGTAATTTTTTATGTAATACATTAGTTGTAATGATCAAAAGACTGGAAGCTCCTTGATCACACATTAGTCATCTCTGTATGTCCCTGGCAAAACTAGCCCACAGAAAGCTAACTGCATAAATGCAGCTACTTTATAGATTGTTTACTCAATGTATTTTTTTTTTTTTAGACAGAGTCTTGCTCTGTCACCCAGGCTGGAGTACAGTGGCATGATATTGGCTCTCTGTAGCCTCTGCCTCCCAAGTAGATGGGACTACAGGCATGTGCCACTATACCCAGCTAATTCTTGTATTTTCAGTAGAGAAAGGGTTTTGCCATGTTGGCCAAGCTGGTCTCAAGTGATCTATGTGCCCTGGCCTCCTAAAGTGCTGGGATTACAGGTGTGAGCCACCATATATTGTTTTAACATGTCTCTCAGCTCCATGAACTCTAGAATGTTCATTCAAGGTATTTCTTCTGGAAATATATGACATACAGCAACATGGTAGCCTGACTGTTGGGTGGGGAGTCTCCATGGGAAGTTATCCTAAGGGAGTACAGGGGATGGAAGCGTCTCTGTTCAGCCAGCTATGCCAATACAGAAGGGATTACAGGAGGTCTGGAGTTAAAAGCAAATTTCAGTGAAATAGAAAACCCAGGTAGAGTTAACAGATTCAGCTTCAAGTTGGCTAATTGAAAAAGGATTGGCTCAGAACTTTCAGGAAATTTATTCTATCCAAATTAAATTACAAACAGGAAATCTGCCCTGTTTTAAGATTTAGAAAGATTTGATGTTGAGTAGGCAGTGGTATGAATTTCAGCAAGAGACAGGGAATTAGGAAAGTCAATAATGTTTTCTGCTACAGATGTTGGAAGCACCTGTAATAGCAAAGAATAAGCTCCTTAGTTTGAATTTTCTGGCATTCATTTAGGAAGCCTCTGGAGCCTTGAGCTACAAAGAAAACATATTACCCTTTTCACAGTGCATGTATTTAGCTCCTGAAAATAATCTTCTTATCTCCTCTTTAGTGAATTATCACTTTCATTTTCCCCCACAAAAAAATTACACACTAATAGAGGTAATACTTTAAGAGTTTACAATTTCTTTTTTGTATTCTGATTTTAAAATTGAAAAGTAATCTCCTTACTCCTTGAGCTCAGCCAGTGAAGCTGAAATCCTAATGTCATGGCCCAGTAAGTACAGAGATGTAATTAAATCACTCCACTGAACTAATTCACCAAGAGGGCCACCACTGAAAGCTGTCTCTGCAATCTTAAATCCAGATTCCTTGGTCAGGAGTCCCAGGTGAACGAGGACCTGGAAAACAAAGAGGTATATACTGATTCACACTGAACCACATACAAAATGCACAGTAATACACCAAGAAGTGACCAACCAATCCCAAAGTCATGCTTACATCCTAGCAAATTCTCAGCGTGGGAAATGTTGTTTTTCTAGAAGGTACAAAGGAAATCATTTTTCATTGTGGTTTTGGAGAAGTAAAATCACTACAGCCCTTGGTATGGCTATGAGTGTACAGAATGGAAAGATAATCTCACCTTTTAAAAGTACAGTATATTTGTAAAATCGGGATTAAAGGAAATTAAGACAGGACAATATTTTTTAACACTATTGGTCTTTTATCTACAGTGAAAATACTTCTAACCTCTTACTACGGAAAATTTCAAACACATAGAATTGCAAACCTGACAATATAGTCAATACCAAGGTACTCATCATGTAACTTCAACAATTATTGATGCAGGACAAATCTTAATCTATACCCTCATTTTCTCCCAACCCCTCTACATTATCTCAAAGCAAATTCTAGACATCCTTTCATCTGTAAATATTCTAGTATGTATCTCTAAAGGGAACAAACCTTCACTTGAAAAATGTAACCTGAACATCACTATTATCCCTTAAAAAAGCTAGTAATTCCTTAACATCATCTGATATCCGGTTAACGTTTATACTTCTTCAACTGCCCTTTATTTTTTCTAAGTGCAGTTGTGTGATTCAAGAGTCAGAGGGCATACATAACAATTGCCTCATATGTCTCTTAGCCTCTTTTAACTGATACAGCCTCCCGTCAACTTATTTGGTGGTGGGGGTAGGGACTGCTATGATTTATTTATCAAAGAATCTGGGTTTTATTTTCAGTCATCTCCTACACTCCTGATTTTGCTTACAATCTCAAGGTATAAGATTCTTCTGTCCTTTGTATTATGGTAAGTAAGTAATACAGACATAATAATCAAATTGAATTTTTTTTTTTTTTTTTAAGCAATATCACTTCATAGGTGGTGCTATGGACTTCCATCAGTTTCAGTACAATGTACTGCAACAATGTATCTGTGTCTCTGTTTTGGGTGTTAGTGGGCCTTGATGGTCACTACCTAGATCCATTAATCCATTAGGGCCTGCAAAATGATGATATTTGATCATTCCTTCTTTATTTATTAGCTGGAATAATATCTCTATAAAGAAAAACTACCCCTCATCAACTATTTGGTCACCCTGAGGTAATCCTAAGGTTTGTCTAGAAGGAGCCTGGTAAATACTTGATTCTTTCTCTTCATTTACCAGTTTTTCAGAATAATAAACTTGTTCTTTAGTATACTATAATGATGATCCATGAAGTTTTTTAATTTAAAAAAATCATTGTAACATTAAAGTATATTTGATATGCTTCAAAAAATTGTGGTTATTCCTCTCGCTGACTATCCAATTGTCCCACCTGGGTCTGCAGGAGGCTATCCAAGCTGGCTCCTAAATTTTTGACATGACCCTAGTCTTCTTAGCTTCTCTGCACATGGGTAGACAGATGCACCTGACAAGATTGTTCTAGGCTCAACAGGTACAACTTCTGTCTTGCACCTTAATAAGCCATTTTTCCAAGAACCTCTTATACCACCTAGGAGAAACAGCATTTAGGGACTAATGTGTGGGGCTTAAGGGACTCGATTTTATTACTATTTATAGGTCTTATAGTGGCCCTAGCTAGGAAATTTGTTTTTCCTCAAAGGTAAAACAAATCATGAGTTCAGACTGGTGCTTCCAATTCACACTCAGGGTTATAGTGTTTTTACATAACATCACCAATCCTACCACCCATCAATTCCTCTCTTCCACACTGCAAATCCCACTTCTCAATGACACTAACATAATTACTCATCACCTTTATTCCAGTGTTCACAATGGATTCAGAATGAGACTATCAGTGCTACCACATATTACATGATTCATAAAAATAGTTTTAAGACATTTTTACTTTTTTTTATGCTTTATGACATCCCATGAGTAGTGTATTTACTATGTTCTAAAATCACTAAGAATAGTCTTTTTCTGTGTGCTTCCATCAAAACTGGATGGATATATATTCAGTTCATTTGCTTTATATTTTTTCTAATTTTTAGTTTTTGGCAGTAAAATTTCATTTAAGACTTACATAAAATGACTCCAGTGTCAAGTCTACAAAGTCAGATATATTGAGAAGTCTAGTTTCTACGGTAGTTTCTGTTTTCTCCATACTAATCCCACCTCCCCTTATTTGACCATTTTTTTCTTATTGTAGTAATATACACCTAACATAAAATTTACCATTTTAACGTGTATGGTTCAGTAGCATGAAGCACATTCATATTATTGCGCAACTATCATCACCATCTCCTTTAATTTTAGCTTATCAAAATAAGAAAAATACATTTTCAAACTAAGAGCAAGAAACAAATGTATGTATCTGTATATATCTTTATGTATACATAGATACAAATTCCCTCTCTCTCTTAAAAATAATGCACACTATTCTCTATTTTTCCTCATCTAACAATATATCCTTGAGGTTATTCCACAGTAATACACAGAAAAATTCTTTATTTCTTTTTACAGCCCAACTTCAGCATCTGAACACATGCTCTTCCATACAAGACCATCTGGTGACAGAATGTTTGGTTCTGCTGTCTCATAAATTCAAGAGATCTAGGCAAAACTGGCCTATCAAACTGTGATTTGGGGTCATGCAAATATATCTGTACTTTCTTTTCCAAAGATATCAAATTAGTTGGATTAGGAATACCAAACTCATTTTTATGTTTTTTAGATGTGGGAGCAAATTGCTCACTTTGCTCCATTCTGAAATCAGAACAGTTAATCTAAAGCCAGACCATACAGCTAACAGGACATAAAATCTTCTAAGCCCAGGGGTACTGGAGAAGTTTTCCAAGCATCTCCTCCTAAGCTAGAAAGAAACTGGCTGAAATTTATTCAAATTTCTCTCTCTCTGTCCTAGGAGCAGAAGCAGAATCACCAATCAGAAGAGTAGCAATGCAACTCACTGGCTGTCCAAAAGCCAGGGATGAAAAACAGCAAAAATATAAAATTGTCATGATGATATAACAGGAAGCTCTCAAGGTTGGACTCAGGTAAAGAAATGGGAGAAAGTTTCCTGATACTCTGACAAAGACAGGGTCAAAGGACAAGTCTTACAGGCAGATATTCTGCTTGGCTTCACCCAAGAAACTTGTGCCAGACCCTGCTAAGATAGACTATTGTAAGTGGGGAAAGGAAAACCCAAAAACAGCTGTACAAGAGACTGAGCAAATTCCCTGAGGGAATATCATTTGAGATATGACATTTCTCTTAGTCTTGTTTCCAAGCAAAATCAAATTTTAAAAGAAAACTGGAATCTAACTGCACTGAATTAATAAGAAACTCACTTTCTTCCGCTTTCTCTTTTCAAGATTCTGCTTTTCTGCCAGGGACTTGATTGCTTGGATCCATGCGTCAGCCATTCGCCGGATCCGTAGTCTCATCCACCGGAATTCTTCGTGCTTTTTCATCATACTGTAGAGAATATTAAAATCCGTACGGATTTCCGCCTAGCAACAGACATTTAATAAAACGAATAGAAGATAAAAAGTCAGAAAGCATAATGATTCTCATGATGTGACATTTGAAAACTTAAAAGGGTTAGTCAATTAAAGGAGCAGAAGCAGAGCTTAAAAAGTAAGTCTTGTCTGCTGCAGCTTTGACTTTAAGGTCTCAGGATTGCAAATTGAAGCAAAGGCTGCTGACTGCTGATCTGCTGGAAGGGACATCATTAAAAAAAATTAGAAATTGAGAAAAGTAGCACAGGCATTACAAAGCCCTGAGCTATGTTAAAATGCAGTTTTTATAATGAGTGTGCTTGATGTACCTTGAAATTCTCAGCACTCAAATTTACTGTGCCACTTGGATCTACCATAGGACAGCAGACTTCTAAGAAAACTGAAGTCAATTCTTAGCTGGCTGTTTGACAACGTGGAAGTTACCAAAAAGCCTCTTTCTGTCCACAGAGTTAAACAGGAAAATAAATGCTCATCTTCTGGTTTTGTCCCAGTCCAAACAAAAATTCATTATTTTCTAAGGAATTTAAGAGCCAAGAATATTATTTTCTGCCACAACTAAATACAATTTAAAGTTCAGACTAGAGTAACTTAAAAGCCAGGAAGAATATTTTTCCTAATGTTGTGGATAATATAGCTAGATACAACCAGTGATTAAAATAATAGAGAAACCTAATAATAACCAGTATTTATTTCACAGAACATCTCAAACATGCTGAATCCACCTTTTCAACTATCACCATAACTCATTCTAAACACCCATCTCTTTCCTTTTCCCCCCGCTTTGAGATAGGGTCTCGCACTCCCACCCAGACTGGAATGCAGTGGCATGATCACAGCTCACTGGAGCCTTGAACTCGGGCTCAAGCAATCCTCTTGCCATCACAGCCTTCCAAGTAGCTGGAACTATAGGCACACGCCACCATGCTCAGCCAGTTTTTAAATTTTTGGTAGTGATGGGGTCTTGATATATTGGCCAGGCTGGTATCAAATTGCTGGCCTCAAGCAATCCTCCCGCCTCAGCCTCCTAAAGTGCTGGAATTACAGGCATGAGTCACCACACCCAGCTTCATTTCCCTTCTTTACTAAATAATATCATAAGACTCCTGTGGTTTATAGCAGGGATCCCTAATCTATAGCTCTTGAGCTAAATCCTGCTTGTTTTTGTGCATAAAATTTTACTGGAACTCCACCATGCCCCTTCATTTACATATCATCTACGGCTGTTCCCTGTGCTACAATGGCAGAATTGAGTAGTTGTGATGAGACCATACGACTTGCAAAGATGAAACTAATAACTATTCTGGGTATTTTGCAGAAGTTTGCTGTTCTCTGCTCTAAAGAGTAAAGACTTACGCTTTTAATGGGGCACACAAATACTTTCACAGTTCCCTTCCTACCTTCCCAATTTCATTTTCAGCCTAGCTTATCCAATCCCCTATAGCTTTGGCCCACGGAACCATGCATGCTCTACTCCCCAAAACTGCCATGCTCTCATTTTCCCATATGAGAGGTACCCTTTTCTCCTTGACCTTATATAAACTTGCTCATCATTTCAAATTCAGCTCCAATGTTATCCTCACTATGCAATCCACCCTGCACATTGCAGACAAAAATGACCTTTTCCTCATTAATTCCCACAGGCCTATATTACAGTATTTGTGACAGAGATGGTCGTTATTTACCATCACCCTCATTAGATCACTAAGGGCCTCCACATTTGGTACCAGGTCTTACTCATATCAGTAGCCCATCACTTAGAAACCCTCAGAGAATTGCTCAATAAATAAACATGCTAATGCTTGACTGATTTGGTCACCTAGACGTCCATAGAGATGAATGACAGAAGTTTTTCAGCGTAACACTATTTCAGATTATGGTTGGCATTTCTAAAAGATTCCACATGTATCACTTGGCATCTGACTTAAATATACAAGTCTAGAAAGAGTTTTCCAAAATCACTTACCAATGAATTATGATCAGCTTCTTCGTAGGGATTTTTTGCTCTCCAAGGTAAATGAGGACACCAATTTTCAACCTAAAAAACATCAGTGACAATAAGTATGCCACTTCACCTATAATGAATTAATATACACACAAAGCACTGAGAACAGTTCCTGGCACACAATGAGCACTATATTAATATGTGCTATTTTTATTATTAGCCAAACTCCCATGCTTTTTAAGCTAGTATTCCAGATACAAGTGCCCTCTCAGATGAAACAATCAGCAGCAAGGTCAGAAGAAACAGATTATACTTTACATCTGTACTGCAAAGCACTTTACAGCAATTAATTCCTTAGTCATTTAATTTTCACATCTCTGTACCAGAAGGAGAGGGAGTCTAATGGCAGAAAGCTAAAGACTGAAACACTGCCACTGGGGAATGAGAATGTTAGGTGTCTCTGTGACTATTTATCAAATAGACAGGAATGATCCTTATCTGCTGTGGCATATCTGGAAAGGAAACTGAATGGCATTGGAGCCACAGAACTCAATCCTTTATCCAAGTCAGAAATGCCACTGATAGTTTAGGGCTAATTGGTCAAGGTTTCCCTCATTTTCTGCTGTTCAATTCACACTATCTCAAAAAGCAAGGTGGTAAAACCTATTTGAGAAAGAGATAAAAGGAGGAGAAAAAAAAAAACCTTGATGATCTTGTGAGAGCCGTTCTGGAAGATGGATTGTTCTGTCAATGCATAAGGTTTAGAGAATTGAGGGGAGGAAGAAAGAGAAAGAAAAAAAGAACTTGACTATAGAAATTATTTCAGCAAAAGTTATCAAAGACTATTAGGCAACTTAATTTCTGCCAAAAAAAATGAGAAGAATTCATTAAAGTTATATTGATGTCTGTTCTCTGTAAAAACTAGCCACAAAATTTGAAGACAGCATTATTTTTTGGAGAGCAAAAAATCCTTTACTAATACATAATGAGATTATGAAATATGGCTAATAAACAGGCATTGAACATAATTTTTCTATGGCTAGTTAGTCCTATAAAAATTAATGAGCAGGAGAGTGAGGGAATGCCCTTAAAGGGGTCACTAAGATGGCAGAGACATGTGTGGGACCACAGCCTCATGGGTCAGCACAAGATAGTTTGCTCTCTGAGTCTGGGTAAGTTATCAAAGAAACATGTCAGTTTCACTAATCTGGAAGTTACTCATAATGCAAGGTGATTTTTACTATAACCAAAGTAATTGGCCTGATTTGCATAGAGCCATCTGCCACTGCAGATGATCCCAAAGATATAAGCAGAGGGGAGCAAAGCTTGGGGGGAAGGCGGAATCTCTAAATAGGAAAAGTGAAATACTCTCTTTTCTTCTTATGGAATAAAATTAGACCTTGCCATACTTATGAATGATTCAGAGACTCAAAAGGATTCCCCACAAAGAAAGTTGAAATGGTTTTTACTCATAAAAAAGAAAATACCAACTTGCCGGAGGCCTATGGTCTAATTACTGGGATCTGACAACAACATGACCATGAAAGGCAATATCTGCAGCTCCACAAATGAGAAAAATGAGGAAAAACAGCAGAGAAAAAGCCTGCAAGTGGGTGAAGCCTCAGCTGGTCTCAGCAGCATTATGTACATCTGTACTTTGTATTCTTAGGCCAGACTGAATTATTTAGCTCCAATTAGATTTGTGCAAATGGACTCAATAAAGCATATTTATAACATGAAGGCTTCAAATGGATTACAGACTTGATTGTGAGATCTTTAACCTCACCACCCCATCCCACCCCTCCTCCCCTCCGAAAATAAGGATGAGCAAGGAAGGTACAGATTTACAATAAACTTCACACTAAATAAATAACCAATTTTACCAGCCACCCACCAGCATGAAAAGTTTTCCCATGAATAGCATGATAGGGAAAGTTGACACAAGACTAAAGAAAATCAACTAAGAGGAGAGGCATGAGCGAGGCCAGATATTGATAAAGTTCCCTCCTCACTCTGCCACTGCAAGAAGAATCTTTCAAGGTTGACTGTGACAAAAATACAGTCCCAGGTGATTTTTAAAAATATGACTTCCCTACAGAATCTTCAAGACTGCAATGCCTCCTTGAAATTGATCATTTATCTTAGTTCTTCTTATTCTAAATCACTGGCTACTACTTCCTAAGCCTCTAAGAGCACTCCCGAAAATATAAAACACAGTCAGTCCAATTTAGCTTTTAGCAAGAAATTTCACCATTACACTCACACTCGTAATGGTGGGAAAGTCAATTATGAACATCTTAGCACAGAGTGGGAAGATGGGTTTTTAAGGTTGTTTTTGTATACTGTGATAGGATAACTGGTTAACAAAGTAATTAAATTATACGTAAACCAATTATCCCATGGGGAGAAGGGAAAAACAAAACAAAGCATTTCTTTCTTTGCAAAACCTCGGAGGATTACCAGGATTGGAAGAAAGCCAGCATTGGCAGTAACTCCAAGTACTGAAGCAAACAGCTCTCAAATGAGCAACATTTTCCTAAATAAGAACACCATTAATAACACTCCGGGAAAATCTTGCTGAAGGCTAGTAACAACCTCCTAATCCCTAACTTTGTTTTCTTTTGATCTGTCCAGGGTCCTTTAACAAGCTTAACCCACCGGTACAGGACACTACCAATAAAGCTGGATGCCAAGATGAGCCCTACCATCTTCTTGACCTGAAAATGGCTCTATTTCAAGTCATTCTCAATAGCTCTTCTACTCTTGACTCTCAGAACCCTAGTGTCCTACAGCTGCCTATGGCTACCTTCGTTCACACTTTCTCAACTGTGGCTCCTGGTACTCTCTTCCTGGGATATAATTTTATATTTGCCTTCGGTGCGCAGACATACTGGGTGCCCCACCTCCCCCATCTCTGCCCAGCTTTTATGGCCTGGGAAAGACCTGCCTGGAACCCTATACCAGGGAAGGGACTGGACAGTCTTAAAAGTAGCCTACAACTCACCACTGTAAGTCTAAGAAATTAAAACTGTCTGAGCTGATGGCAACACACAGACAACAATCAATTGAGGAGAAGCATTCCTCCAGTAACCTTAAATTGGAAAGAAAAACTCTTTAGCTCACTAGCCTCAGGCCACAAAATGAACAGGCAACAAAAACAAAGACCAGTCACACTAAAACTTTAGAACATCAATGGCCATTCCATGGAAAGGACCCTTTAAATCACTTTTCTTGAATGAGGAGATTAACAATTTGTTTTTTAACATTCCTCCTCGCAGTGATTTAACCTTCTTTGAACCAAAAGGGTTTTGCAACTTAAACATGAGCACTGTGAATCAAAACATTCTCTGAGTCCCAAGAAGTCTAATCCGGTCAGACTTATTTCCAAGGTCTGCAGGATGGACAATTCATTATATTTAAGGGAAAAAGCTTGCTGGCAGAAACATACACAGCTCAAGTTGGAGTTTAAAGAGGAAAAGAAAAAGTAATAAAGTTACTGTGAAAACTAATAGGAGATTCAATGTATATATGCATATTGTTAGATATAATATGGCAAAACTCTTAGTAATGTTCTGTTCTTTTGAAAGAATAATGATTAGTCTCTGTTATGGCTTTTTCTTTCACGATTAATGTGAAGTGATTAATGTGAAGTGTTCTGTTCTAATGGATCACTGACACATAGGATTTCATGCTGTATTTTTCAGATTATTTAGGTGCAATCCAAACTAAATGAGAAAAATGCATACGAAAAGTCTGAGATCATCTCTGGATGACGGTGTTCTGGGTGCTCTCCATTTTCTTTTTGCTAATCTAAATATTATACATTTTTACAACAAACATTAAGATAATTTTTAAAGGAGTTACATAAGCATACCATCATTTATGAAGGTTTACATCAGGCTTCATCACACACACACACACACACACACACACACACACACAGACACACACTCACTCTCTCTCTCTCTCTCTCTCTCTCTCTCCACAATTAATTCCCCCATACGGCCTTATAACATAGGTACTATCAACACGTCACATGGGATGAAGTCAAGGCTTAATGTGAATTTGCCACTATAACTTCTCTAGTGAGTGGCAGGGCTGAGTGACAACCAAAATTTGTTGCTCCCTGACCAGCATACATTAGAGTTATGTTTAGGCCACACTTAGTGAGGAATAAGAGAGCTATTTCAGTGGGGAAAGATGACTGAATCTGGGATCAGTCAAAATGGACTCTATGCTCAACTCTGCAAATAACTGGTCATGTAATCTTAAACCATTCGTCTTTCAAGACTTCTCATCTACTTCAGAGTTGGAGTAGTTGGTTCAGGTAACCCTCTTAATTTTATTATCCTATAAGATCTGATACAATTTATGTCATCCTGTTAGAATAGCTGGTCGTGTATCAAATGAATACAGTTGACTGTATATCTATTCATCTGACACACTGATTATGCATATATATATATATATATATATATATATATATATATATATATATACACACACACAGATACATAAACATATACACATTTGTTATACTGATGACATCAAATGAAGTTACTCATTAAGGGATATGCCAAAAAAGGTAATCCCTGCACTTCTCTCTACCACATGCCAACTCCTGACTACTCTACTTTCTAAAGTTTTAATGAGGAAATGCAGATAGTAAAGGACGTCTACTCATAAAGTGGTAAGTGGTTCAGCTTTCTAGACTGGTCCTGTGCACCAACACCTTAGCTGATTAATATTTTGGTCCAACTCTTCATCTGAAGAGTTGTGTAGGAGGAGCAGGTTGGGAGAGACAAAGAATAAAAGTTGCAATGTACTAGGAGCCAAACATGAGAATAAGTTCTTTACACACATTGCCATCTCATTTGGTCTTTTCAAATAACCTCTTGAGAAAGGCTAATTATTATGCCAGAAGAAGACACTGAAGCACAGACTAGAAAGAGTTAAAGGCAGAAACGCTACCTGTCTTGCCCCAGAGCTGCTACCCTCAATCACTACTTAAAGCATACTGGCCAAACTTTTGGTTCCCATAGTCCCGTAAACACAGTCCAGTCTACAATATTGGAGTATTATAATTGCCTACG